GTTCTAACAAGTTTCAGTTTTTGTACTTGAGCCTCCGGGCGAGGGAGACTGCTGTTATTTTGTCTTCTGTCCACTAAAATCTCATCATTTTGGTAGATCTTAATCATCAGCTGCCTCATACCAGGCCTCGCTAATAGGAAATTATATTCCACCCCATTCGTAAAGAGTTCTGAAGTCTCAGCATATTTCCCTTGGAACACGAGAACAATATTGATCCGGTGGTAATAAAACAGTCGTTTGTAGTCGTAACTTTGTACGCAGACATTTCTTCCACAGTACACGTTTCCAAGCTTTCCCTTGGACTTGTTCATAATAGAAACTCACGCTCCACTGTCTATCAATGCCTTTACGTTTGATCGTTCACAGTTATTTCAATGGGCAGTAAACGCAAAGAAGCTAAGTAAACAGTCTCTATTTTTGTCCTCAGGTAGGACTGCTCACCCTCGTTTATTCGTTTTTTTTTTTTTTTTTCCTTCTTCTTTGGTTCGACCGCAGCTATCTTTAGGACCTTGTTGTGTTGTAACAAGGTTCAAAAGCGGGTTCCGTGGCTGGAGGGTTGGAGCAGTCTGGTTCCGATCAAAGGAATATGGTGGCGATGCGGACTAGTTGGTTCATGCTTTATATATTCGACACAGCGCACAAGAAAGGAAGTTGAAGTCGAAAAGGTGCAGAAGCGCTTGACTTGTGTGCCCCTTCTAGTTCCTCTTCGTTTTTGTGCGCTGTGTCGAATCTCCTCTGATCTAGGTTACGCCGCTGCGGACGATCGTGGTCTCTCTTCGGCGACTCTTGAGACACTCGACTGTTCCGAAGCCGCCTCTTGTCAGCCAACGTGTTCGGCCTCTCCTGAAGACACTGGAGTAGAGCTTCAACCGGCTTAGGCGACATCAGTTGGACAGTCTTTAGCCTATTTTGTGAGAGCCCGTGGGTGATTAGGGCCATTGTTGCCGAAGATGGTAGTCCTGGATCGGCAAGTTGGAATAGTCTTCTTTTCTCGTAGAAGTACTTTATTGGAGAGCATGACCGGAACTTGAAGAAAATCACCCGGTTCCATCTCTCCAAGGCTTTTTCTAGAAAGCTTGTCAGAGAACTCGCCTTGCAATCGCTCCAGCTTGACTCCGGATGGTCTGTCAAGTGCTGGTTTTACCACTTCTTGGCTGTCCCACTCCGGTAAAGACGCATGTACTTAATCCGATCCTCTTCTAACATCCAGCAATACTTTTTTACTGCATATTCAAAGATATTTCATGCAACCCTCCGGATGTGAAGAGGATCCATCAAATATGCCTGGCTTGACCAGCTCAAAACGATGTCTTTGCGGTGCTTTCAACGCCGAGATGATTGCTCCCATCAGTTCGTTTTGCTGCGCCGTTTGCTTTTGCTGCAATTGCAGTCACAGCATCACGAGTGCGACTGTAGACGCTGGCGCTTCTGGACTGTATCGTCTGTCTTGGCTGTCGAGTTGACGGAGGCTGGGCTTGAAAACTAAGTCGTCAAATGCCGAAAGTTGAATATTCACCTTCGTATACAATTTGCTGATGAGTTCTTGGAGAGAAAGATTGGCCTTTCAAAGAACCAGCTCTGTGAGCTCATGGGTGTTGGCGTGTCCAGGCAGCTGTCGCTCATCTTCGTCTTGTCGGTTAGTTCAAAATTCCACCTTATCGCCTGCGGTCTTGTTTATGGTAAAGGTTACCTACATTACTTCCCCTCAGGCTATCTTGCCGGCAGTGGCAAATTGTAATGACTCCTAGAATCGCGCGGTAAAGTCACTGGTCAGTGTATACATTCTATTTATTTATTGTCATTCCTTGCTGCTCTGTTCTTCCTTCTCCTCCTCGTTGACGTCAATCTCATGCACGCCCACTTAAGTATTTATAAAAACAAATTGTGTTTGCGTGCAATACGGAATACTGTCTGACGAAAATCATCACACGTATAGAGATCTCGTAAAAATGCAGCGAGATTTAGCACATCAAATCAAAGCAGCGTCAGTCCTTCTTTTTGATTTTGCTGAATCAATTATTTTGAGTCAAACATAAAGGATTGACATTCCAAACTTCGACTTTCAGACTCCCAATAGGGTGTGTTGAGTACCTGCTTGCAAACATCACACTGAGGAAGAATACTGCAAATTCTTTCGTTTTCAGTAAGATTCTAAATAGCAAAAAAGGTGGATGAGAAAATAAGAAGCATTAGGTAAGTTATATTGTTCCGAACAGTTCGTTTGCTCATAAAAATATGAGCTCAAGCAATTTCTGAGCCGTCAGAACTTCTTGAAACGTGTGCTAGTCTGCACTTCGACGTTAGTACACTTTACGTCGTGGTTGTACATAAATTTGCTTCACAACGTTTCACCCATCTCAAGTATTGCGGAAGCGAGCTCGACAGACAGGCGTTCACGCGCTCGCGCAACTCAAGCGTTGATTAAATTTGTGCACAGTCACTATTTACACCCAAGATCCCACAGAAACTTGACACCGAGAAAAGAAGTGTCGTCGCTTGTCACCAACCTCATTAAACGAGTCGCGTACTCCCACAGAACGAGCACTAATCCCGCCAAGGCATCGTGTCATCTGCTGGCGAGGCAAAACCGGTTGTTAAACTTTATTACCGGCATTCATCATCGCTATACGATGCTGAGATAATAGAAGAAGTATTCATTATTAGATACAGGAAAGACACAATGCTTACAAAAAAAATTATTTATTTTTGTATCAGTCAATTTTTAACCTTGTATCTCTCCATAGCAACGGACCTAGGAACGGTTTCTTTGAAGCACAGTGCCTGTATGTTACGTCATTACTTACGGGGTCAATTCTGAACATATTTTTATGATGACAAAGAGAAAATACAGCACTTAGTAAAGTTATGTACGTAGATGACCTAATTCATGTTCCTGTTTACCTGTATTTTACAATATAGTATTGTAGAATCTTTAAGAAAACTATCTTCGGCGGAATAATAAAAATAACGTCAATTATTAAAGTATATGAAACAAAAAAATCACAAAGTAAAGTAACCACCAGAGAATAAAGTAAATAATGAATATAACAACACTGGTGCATATTTGCTCCCATTTCTACGGCCTTCAAAATACCTGGCCGCCTTGTTTCACAAAACAGAGTTGGAGAGTCAACCAACCTCTGCGATACACGGATGGAGCTTAGTGAATGGGAAGACCGCAAATATTACCAGCCGTAAAATGAAGCCTGTAATCCCATATTGAACATGGTTAGGGAGGTAACATGGTGTTTTACATCATGCTCAGTGTCAGAAAGTTTTATGCAGGGCGAATTCAGAAACAATCGCGGCAATATGTGGAGGGCGTCCGCAATGCAACTAAAAAGCAGGAAAAGCAGGCGCGGAAAAAGTATGCGCTGAACGGCCGACGAGACTGAAGACGACGTTCGAAATGAAGAGAACGTGGGATGAAAGAAGAACGAAGAGAAGATACATTTGGAAGAGGCCTAGAGGAAGCGGGCGGCGTTTGAAAAATGTTTAGATCGAGGAGGATTTAAAAGGGGTTCAAAATGACACGGGCGGCCGGCTCCGCGTCCTGCAAGCAAGGATTGTCCGGGAAACAGCCCCGAGTCCTTGGCGGAAACCAAAGCCCTCCGCTGCACAACCCACAAGCCACAGGTCACCCAATGCTTTTCGGCAAGCTCATGCGCAATGGCCACCAAGAAGGCCCAAGATACTGAGCAGTGAATTAGCAACGACGGCCACAGACTCTTCGTTTGATCCACTGTGACAGGTGTGAATGTGTATTTCTTTAAAGGGATACGTCAACGAAGTTTGAAATATTCCCGTCGTGTTCAAAAATAGGTTGAATACGAACCACAATATCCGTAAATGACAATCGCACGTTTGTACTTTGAGCCTGGTAGCTGTATTTTTCGTTATAAACGGCCCACTCTGGCAAGCGCTCGGAGAAGGCCCAGCGGAGACCACGTGACATCCAACGCAATCGTGACGTAGGTCGTCTCAGGACGAGCAAAGCTACGGCGAGGCTGACATCGAGAGGATGGCCTAGTCGTTCCAGCCACCGAAGCGGCTGCTTTTGTACGAATTTCGAGTGACGGGTTCATCTTCTGTAATCTTGTAGGGGGACAATAGCGACTTCTGCGATACACTAAAGACATTCTCGGGAAGAGGGGAGTTCCTCCTGCCTCTCTTCTCTCGTCGTGGCCGGAGACGAGAGAACCTCCGTCACAAGCTGTCAAGGTTCCTAGACGGGCATTACAAGCGAGGCGTTAGCGACATCCACCAGGTGCTCTTTGCTAATCGTTTAAATCGTCTTAAAATTGCTTTTCGTTACTTTTTTTAACAAGATATTGGTATGTTCGATGTGATGCTGCTCCTTTGAACACATATAGACCAAAAACTAAGCGCCGAAATTTCGTTGTAGTATCCCTTTAATTTCCTCGGCTAAGTTTTCTCCAGTAGTCTTTTTTTTTTCGTGTGAATACTTATGATTTTGTTTTCTTCGTTTTGCTTTTAAATGCAATCTATTTTGCGATAAAATGAGAAAATCCAGACAGAAGTTTTGCCCATTATTTTAGAACCGTATAGGGTCCTTGCACATGCCAGGTTTTCATTAAACGTGTATATTCTTTTATATCTTAAAAATTAAACACTGTGGTGTTTAATCTTTCTAAATCAGCTACTGAGGTGTCTAATCTTCGTTAATCAGTTGAGTGAGGGAACAGGTCGAATGGCATTGTGCTTCGAGTGTTATGCAATCTAGTGGCAAAACGCTGGGCACCCTGAGACCGCAAGAGCTTTGTTTCGCGGGATCGTTCGCCTTCCTCAAATTGATCCTAAAAAGAAGAAATAATTGCTCTTCCGGGGGATACTTGAGGCCTTACGGGGCAATAATATTTTAATGTGCACTTTTTATTACACTTCAGATAAACTAATAGCTATATAACCGCTTTCTATTGTGTTTACGTGTAATGTAATGACAATAAATGGACGAATAAAAGAGTTCAACCTTTACTTACGAGTCAGTCTTCTGTATGTATTCGAGTATTGCATTAACGTGATATCTGTTTCGCACCGTTACGTGTTGATTGGACTTAAGAGTGATGTTCACCTTCTTGAATTGATTGCTCAAAAGTAGGAAGAGGGGAAACTGAAATAACGCATAAATTCAAACATTTCACACTTAGCGAAGTGCTTATCGTTTCTAAAGAGCAGTCAATTCCTGTCTATTGTATTTTAATTTATTGATAATTAGTGTGTATCCGATTGGGTCCATTACAGGAGCGCATTCAAGACGATTCAACCTTTTGAATCGAGGATCATGGTAATTGACTGAACGTTCAATGAAATGTCCTTATATAATACGTCATACCCTTTGAATCATCCTGCTTTGTTAAAACAAACTCGTCTATACCGGGCGCTTTTGCAAATATATAAAAGAATTTAAATAAGGGCTAACAAGAGAAAAAAAAAACTATTTTAGGGTACTAACTGCCTGCCATGGTGGATGTGAGAAATTGCAGAGACATGCTAATTAACAAAATAATTACTTCCAACTTACTGATTGATTTTTTAATTAGTAAAACTAAATGTATGGTCTCGATTCAAAACTTGCTAAGTGATATCGAAAACTCCTAAATCAAGTGCTACTTGAAGCGCATAGGAAGCAGAAGTGTGCGCCAAATTTACCTTTTGTGCAGCAAGTGCAAGGCCGGCGATATGAAAACGCGGAGGAATTCATATCGTCCGCGGTTTTGCGTCGCCGGCATTGAGCCTGCTTCACACGTGGCAGCTCAAGCGCAATCCCGTGCTTCCAATGTGCTTCAAGTAGGCCTAAAATTAAATTGATGAAGGGATTTTGATTACGCTCAGAAAGTTTCAAATTGGAACTGTACGTAAGTTCATTTTTACCAATAAAAAAATTAACAAATTTTAGAGTTCATCGTTGTCTAATTAGTATTTTTCTTTAGATTCCTGACGTCCGCCGTGACTGGGAGCTTCTTTCCGAAAAAATCATTTTGTCAGAACCACCCTTGTTTTACGAATTTGTGAAAATATTCGGAGAAACACTCAGTAATATTGCAAATGACAGACAAGATGCAGGCGAGCTGGTGAACATTCAGCATCTTGAAAACCTGGGTTTAACAAACAAAAGAGGGATGTATCATAACCATTTTTCGTTCCTCAGTCTCCGTATAAGCTTGGGGTTTCTGGCGCCATTTATTTACCTATCCAATTAATAAACAAGATGCAAAAAAAAACGCAAACCCTCTTTTGACGTTTGCAAGCTACAAAAATGGCGCACTGTGATCTATCATTGCACATAATTTCAGCATATATTGCAGAATATTAGAATTCACAGGAGGGAATGTTGTATAAATACCAATCTCTTGTGTTATTGCCATATAAGCTTAATAATTCCTCTATCTCGCGCTTAAGGATGGCAAAAACGATGTTCTTCTACATACTGATGGTTATGTGTCGCTCGGCTGATGCTCGCTTAAACCTATATATGCGTATCAGCTAAAGAGATTCTGCTCTTCTGTTTCCACAGTTTTCGTAACTTACATTCCAGACTCCCAGGACTAAAGAGGCTTCTTCGTTTCCGATTAAGATTCAGTTTTGTGTAAAATGTTAGTATTTCTCCTTTTATTGGCAGCAAGGAAAAAACGTTTCTCTACTGTTTTTGTAAAAGCCAAATGAACCAACGGCAATTTGATATTTCGGTTTTTCTCACTGTCATTTTTTTTTCTCAGTCGAGAGTTTGGGAGTTGGGACAAGGCATCTCGATATCGACATCATCAGCCGACTTGATTATCGTCCATGAAATGAATGCGCAATAATATTATCTCAAGAGTCCCTTTTGAGACGTTTATTTCACCTTACTGATCATGTTCAAATTGCTTTCAAAACCCGTTTCCTTTCCTTTGACTGAGAAGTCGTTCGGTGTTTTTGAAAAATCCCGAAACTATCCTCGGAGAAAACACGACATATCTTATGGCACAGATAGGGGTATATACCCCTATCTGTGCCATGTATATAGACCCCTATCTGTGCATTATGTGGAAACAACTGTATAGTTGTTTCCACATAATAACATGGACAAAAACCTTTAATTTTACGCCGCAACACAGTTTACGGTACGTTCCTCTATTGCCTTTTACTGAACTCTTTTTTTATTCTTGTAATCCCTTATACATAAGTACTTTTGTAACTGCAGTAAATTATTCAAAGTATTTTAGGTTACATGAAATTGTTTACTTTCATATATTTTTCTTCTTCTAGGAGGCTGAATTTTAATACTACATTCAGTTGCGTTTTTAATCAAAGAACTGTAATTATAGTCAGTTTTATATACCCGTACAAGACAGCGAGCAATAAAAAAATTCAGCTCTTGTTACAATTAAGATCTTTGTCTTTAGAGGAAACAAAAAACGCAAACCTCCAGGGAAGATTCAAAGCGTATTGTAATAAACAGTTGCCTTTCTTATATTTTGCACAAAAACAGTTTGAAGTTCGTAATTTATCATGGAATGTGGCACTCTCACAACTCCGATCCACACACAGGATATAATGCAGGGATTCGAATATGTGACACCCAAATGAACGATCTAGCGGAAACGTTCATTGAATGATTGAATAAACATTTAAAGGGGTCATGAAACGCTTTTCCAACTTTTTCCTGTTTAGCTTTCCTCCTCAACTCATAAATCGCGCATTCCACCAAACAGTTCAAGAAGACTAAAAGAGGAGGGGAGCATCTCGCTAGCGCCCATAGTCGTATTACGGCCGAGAGTGCAGTAAACACGAGAGGGGCGAAAGGGCGGGGGTGGCTTTGAGGCCGGATAGGGCATAACGGCTGAGAACTGCATGAAGGCCGATAGTCTCTAAATGGGCTGGCGTGGCCGCCTTTTCGGGGTCGCCTTGTGGTTGACGACTTTAGTTGCCACTAAATAAGATAGATGGCACCACATTGAACATGGCGGATGAAATTAACATCTTTTCAGTCTCGTCAATCACTGTGGTCTCTTCTCAAATTACAATGATTGGCGCTCCAAATACTGTAAACTATTTAATTTTTTAGAGGACCTAATTTTCGCCTATCGCTTACAATTCGCGAAAATAAGGTCCCGCGAACAATTCCGTTAAAATGTAAACACATTAGAATCTATATTGAGATCTTACCTCGTCGGGAAAATTAGCACCCGCAAATTATTCCAAAACTCCAGCTTTGACCTAATCGCGAAAAATAAGTCGTTTACAGTATTCTCCGGGAAAGTAGACTTATGACATTTTTAAGAGTGTTTCTGTCGGTGACTGCAAATACTGCGGTCTTGGGTTTGTTTGCCTTCACGGCCGGCACCAGTTGGTACGCCGGCCTTGCCTGTCCGAATTTTTCATTTATTTCTTTGCTTTTCCGCGCTTTATCATTTCTTATTTGTTTGATCAGAAGTTCCTTCGTCTGCAAATTTGGATTTTGTACACACACTCACGTATTTCCAAATAAATGCTATAAATTTAGGGCCCCCTTTTGGTATAACATTCCTATATTTTAATCATCGACTTTTTAAGAGTTCAGTGAAACATTTATTGTGTCTTTTCAATTTTCAGATCTTTAATTAAATTAGTTATGTCTGATTCTACCGGGCGGCTACGAAAACGATGAGTGAGGTTGATTTTAAAATTGTATTTTCAATCTTTTTTACAACTAAACGCTGAAGAAAACACATACTAGGAAATATAAAAAACACATGGGCCATCAGAATGTCAGCACATATCAATTAACTCACCGTCGGAGTGCATTCTTGCCTTGAAGTAGGTCATGTGCTTCGTTCCGTCTCTCTAGTTGGCTCACGAGGGCATAGCTTTTGCTTTTTGCTAAAAAATGTTGACACGGAGTGTAGCACAAAAGAAACGCTAGTCGAAACGGTCAAATCGCAACGTGTTTAATTAATCGTAAAGGATGAAGCAATAAAACCAAGAACGCAGTATTTGCCGTCACCAGAGATGCAATGTGCACTGACAAATAAAAGAAATATGTGGCGACATCAATCTTATTTGGTGGCAACTAAAGTGATCAACCACAACGCGACCCCCCAGAAGGCGGCCACACTAACCCATTCACAGACTATCGGCCTTAATGCAGTTCTCGGCCGTTATGTACTATTCAGCCTCAAAGCCACTCCCGGCCCTTCCGCTCCTCTCGGCCGTAATGCACTCTCGGCCGTAATGCGACTCTCGGCCGAAATGACAGTGACCAAAGGGGGGAGGCCCCTTTTGCTCGGAATCTGGTCTGTGTACCCGGACAGAGCCATTGTCCCCCTAGAAGATTTGCCCGTCGCTCCAATTTCAGACAAAGGTTGCTTTCTCCAACCCTTTCACCCCGAAGCTGACAGTGCTGTGCAACCTACGTGCTCGTTGGGCCAGCCACACTTTTTCCACGTGATCACGCTCCTTCGCGCATACCCACGCTCAGAGAATGAGGTCCGGTGATGAGAGGGAGGCGGCTGATTGGTCCGGCAAGCGCGTAGCTTCTACCACAATGTCAGCTTAGGGGTGAAGTGAATAAGTGAGGTCCGGGTGTCGTGTCACGTGCGTTGGGACCCGATGACGCGCTTTTGGGACCGCGGATGTATCACAGTGAAATGGCAGAGAGCTTACGAAGGGGAGGAGGTACGAAATAGTCCGCTGTGTTTTGAAATTTTTCGCACTGAAAGTAGGGGCTTTTGACTTTCTACCTTTTTTCTTTTGGCCCACTGAACGATGTGCTATTAGTAAAATCTCAATCTAAAATGATTTGTCCCAACCCAAAATTCGTTTCATGGGCCCTTTAAGAAAATATGAGATTATGCGAAAAGGTACATAGGCATTATTTAAATAGCTAAAGTTCTCATCTCTTTTCTGGACACAATGTGGAGGGAATTATTTTATTTTCAAAACTGAAATAATCTAATATTATGATAATCACTGTTTTTCACGTCTGAAGAAGTTTGCGAGAAAGTTCAGCTAGCAGGCCTTATTGCCCTATGTTTTCAGAATGAACATCTGTGCGTCTGTCACTTGCCACTTTGGCTACACAACTTTCTTACGTGATATATAAACTGTCTATAATTAATTTACTTATATTACTGGGTACAAATGGCAAAAACATTCAAATTGTGATACAAATAACAAGTTACATAGTCTATAATTTTAAGTTTGGGTAAAGATGTTTCTATAAATTGTTTTGATAAATACTGAACTTAATCTGTCAACCTCTTGGAATTTCCACTTCATGGATATTGCCATCCAAACTTCGAGCCGCTAATAGACGCCAATTATCATAAAGCAGTCTCCCATGAAAGATCCCCTCTCTCACTAGAGCAATAAGCAAGATATATGTTGCTTGTTCGTTGTAAATAAATAACTAAATAAATAAATATATATATGCATACGTTACCTTTTTTGAAAGGTGATTTTGCATCTCTCTAATGGGCAACGTGGGATCAACCCAAAATCCAGCAACTCTCTTGAACCACATTTCATCAAGCTGGAATTTTTATTAATAAGACCATATTGAATATAATCGGAAGGCTTATCTCGAGTCAGGAATTTTATCCTTTTCCTTGTAATTTACAGTACGTATCTCTACCATTTTACGATATTAGAAGCTATAACAGGCGCCATGAGCGAAAGAAAAGAGTGACCATCGTAAAATATGTTGTTTAGTTCGCCATAGTTAAACTAGAAATATACGAACTAAAGTGAAGAGTCGAACTCGTTGGTAAGATTACATCAAATAAAAACAAGCGTACAAGCCCCGCTTGTGCGCTGTTTTTAATATTAAATACAGAACGTTAAAGTAGCGTTATTAAACTATACCTTTTGTTTGTCTTGCTCAAACACAAATGTGAAAAAAAGGTATATTGTCGGACAACTTCTGTTTCCAAATTATTCTTTGGTACGATTGAAATATCTGGTCATCTCAACAAAAGCTTTACTGTAAGTGCGTTTGTAGTAGGGTTCCGGAGTTAATTTAAGGGTTTTTACAAACAGCTCAGAGCCAAAGCAACATAAGATCGAGCCAATTTGTTGCCATCGATATAAACGCGATACGAAATTGGCTCGGCTTTGTTTAGCAGGCGTTTTTTGAACCTAGATCTCTCTGCTCCAGTCAAAATTACTGAACCTCATGTTGTTTCTTCTTTCTTACATTTATAGCCATCGTATCAGCGCTTTCTCTTACCCGCTGCCGACCACGCAGGTAACTATATAAGCGGGCATTCAACCGAACGATTGCTACAATATTAAGGAATAGTGAGCGCTTGAGTCACTGAATGTTCCCAGAGTACCGAATTCCATTCTGTCAGCTTACCGTAAGTCGATCTCCGCAGAATCCACTTCTGATTGGCTGGGCTGGTTAACCCGTGGCGGAAATTATCAGTCGGCCATTTTGAAGATACCCCCCCCCCCCCCTTCCATAAAAAAACTTATATAAAACGTTTTTGCGTTACCACGGCTACGGTGGTTACGCGCGGGTCGGAGCTCTGGGCACCGATGAGTTGGGCCCGAACGGAACGTAAATTTCTTTTCTCTAGAGTTTTTATTTTGTAATATTAAGTAGTTGCTAATATAGTTCGCCAAAGAAGATTGCCAGCTCGTTTGCTCGCACCGGTTGCGCTGGTGCAGCGTTTCAAACTCTACGCCTCAGACGATAAGCCAAACACTTGATTTCGATAGGTTTCGAGGCGAGAGAGAGAGAGAGGAGACAGCGAGGAGCAAGTGACGCACCGCTGGGAACGAAGGAAATAGCTTCAATAAAAACAAAACAGCGTTGCCACCTACCAGAAAGGTGTATTGAAGAGCGCACACGATAACGAACGCTACATTGTATACGCGCTTCGCTTCGACTGCACAGGGAAGCGCCATGTTGGGGATCAGGACCAGTGTTGCCGAATGGTGTGAAATTTCTAACCTAGTGTGGAAAGCTTAACGCCAAGGCGCAAAGGTAAACATAATTTGAATGCTTGTAAAATATGAATTTTTAAAAGCAAACATATCTCTTATTTTACATGCGTTCGAGTTTAGTTCCCCGATGTCCCCTTGAGCAACGTTTGTGAGAAATTTCTAACGATTCGGCAATACTGATCGGGACTCCAGCGCCGCGACTCGGTTCTGAAGAGAAAGGTTGAAAGCTCCGGTGCTCTGGGAACATTCAGTGACTCTAGTGACCACCACTGCCCTGAGGGACATTATTATTTCGTGCGCTCGGCGCCGAAGTAAACGCACGTATTTAAATTACGCAAAGTTTACACCCTGATGTCCGCTGTGTTCTATGAGTGCCTCAACAGAATGGATATTGTTTTGTGCACAAATGCAAAAACAAATTGTCTTGTTAGTGCACAACATAGCATTTCTGTTGACCACGCTCTTCTTGGACTTTTCCGTGGTTCGCAAGCTGCGGTCGGCTAATAATAGTTACTTGGTTATTGTCTAGAAATAGAGACAATGAGGCATTTCAATTTGTGAACCCGCTTATAGGGCTCATCTTTCAAAACAAACTACATTAAAAGTAGTTGATTCCGTTCAGTAGCAAAGTCTGCATCAAAGTCTGTTATCCCCAGCTTGCTACATTTATTACATGCCTAGTCGATGTTATGGTCTTAACGTGTGTCACGACGACGGCAGCTCGCATTTGCGTAATTCGTGATCATCCTGGCAACGTTGGCATTTGTTCAGGAACCAACGTGGAGCACGTTGGTTCCTGACCGGCGAATTTTGATTGTGTACAATTGTGACTCGCGAAATGGCGAAAAAGCGAAACGGCGAAATCGCGAATAACAAACAGCCAGGGGAAAACCAGCAGAGCCCACGGCTATGGCGCAGTAGGGAAGCTGGCGACGAAGTACGCATAAAGTGCGACAGAAGCAGGAGGTGGGCCTTCCTGGAAGAAAGCCGTTACAAGGATGTCTCGGAGGCGGAGGAAGACACAGACCCGTTCATTCGCAACATATGCACGAGGCTGACAGAGCTGGAAAACATGCATGGGATGCGGACAGAGGAGCTGACAGCGCTGGTGAGCTCCCTGACTGAGCAGATCCGACGGTTAGAGGACCATGTGGCGAGTACGGCCAGTGCAGCTACCCCAGAGCTGACACACTCCGGAAGTGGACGGGGGGTTTTGTGTCAGCCAGTGCGATCCGATGGCAATCGTGACGGTGGGGACATGGACTCCCACCGAGGCAATGCCGGAGAAAAGGACCTAGAAGTCCAGCGGAGCAACAGAGAAGAAACGAAGGCACCTGGTGAAACCAGCACTCAACAAGTCAACACAGCGGCAAATGTGGAGCAAGAGAAAGCTGAAGAAAAGACGACAGATGCGGGACAACAGAGCCTAGAAAGTACGCTATCCTCGAGGAGCACGGACGGAGTGCGAACCGACAAACGGAAACACGTGGACGGAGCAGAAGAAAAGGGTGATGCGACAGTGGCTTCCAGCGACCACCCCAGGGTGTGACGCGAGAGGCGATTGTAGTCGGAGACGACAACGTACCCCGTTTCGCACGCGCGCTCGACAGGGAAGTAGGCAATAGCCGACGGCTGGAGGTGCTGTACAACAGGAAGGCAACAGCAGAGGTGGCCGAGAAACTAAATGAAGATTATGAGAGTCAGGCACGAAAGGTACGCCGACTATATGTGCTCCATTTTTGCATCAAGGATTTGCTGCAAAGAAGGAGGCCAGAAGAGATTGTGGACCATCTCAGGAACACATGGTCGAATCAAAGTGACGTCCTAGCCATCTGTGCAGTGCCTGAGGTTGCAACTAGGGGAAAGGCGGTTCAGGCTGCAGCTATGTCACTGAATGTGAAGTTGGGAGACCTCTGCCAAGAGCTGAGGGCAACATACATCAACCTCAGCAAGGACCTGTACCATGAGGACATGACCAGAGATGGACTGCTCTACAGTCAAGAAGGAGGAAGGAAGGTAGCAGACCGCCTAGCCCGGGTGGTAAGTCGTTTTTTAGGTACGCGCAGACGAGGCAGAGGTGTGAAACAAACACAGCGGACCAGTCAACAGAGTCAAGGGAGCTAGCACCAGGAGACAACAACACAAGGCCGGGAGATACCGAACCAGACATTTCACTCCAGCTGGGTACGAACTGCAAAACCGGTACGTCCACAGCGGTGCGCTCCAGGCGACCAAGAAGAGCGGCAAAACGGGGCAACGTCACAGACAGAGAAAACGTGGCCCACCCACCACCGCCCGCAACACCCAGCAGAGCAGAGCTTTCCACAGGCCGACCCTTTCGTAGGGCTCCCGCCTCCACCTCTACTAGAACCCCCTCGCACCCCCAGCAATGGGCGCCCAAGCCACCAGTGCTAGTGCAACGGAGACCCGAGGTAGCTCCTATCCCCCACCTGTTTTCAATGGTGGCACACATGGTAAACTGCCAACTGGGGCATGTCCTGGGTCGCCAATCAGCATAGGGTTTCCCCTCGACACAAGGAGAAAGGGTGATCGACGGATGAAGAGGTCACAGAAGCGAAGACGAAGACGCCGAAACAGAAAGGTGGCGAGAAAAGCAACGAAGGTGACTTTCCTAAATATGCAGGGAGGACGGGGAGAAGGAAAGTGGAACGAGGTCGCAGCCATAATGGACAAAGAAGAAATCTCTATCTTTGGGCTGGCGGAGACTCATCTACGAGGAAAAGAAGGCCCACCCATTTTCCCAGGTCTGGTTTGGGAGGGCTGTAACAGGCAAGGTGAAATGAGGAAAGGAGGTGGAGTTGGAGTCCTCTTCCGAGACAATGAACAATGGGCCAGAACAAAAGTGGAGTGCTGTGAACATATGTGGATGAGGGGCACAGTGAAGGGAACACCTCTAGCAGTTGCAGTGGTGTACTGGTGGACAGGGAAAGGATCGAAGGAGAAGAACAAAGATATGGCCAAGTGCTTGAATGAAGACGTCCAGGAGATGAGGAACCATGGAGATGACATAATTCTCCTGGGGGGCTTTAACGCACATATTGAGGAATTGGACGGTAGGAGGAATGGAAATGGGCAGTACCTACTTGACTTGATAGAGACCAATGACTTGGTACTTGGAAACACACTGAGCACATGTGAGGGAAAGTACACCTGGGTATCCGGAGACCAAAAGTCATGCATCGACTACATCCTCATGTCCCCAATGATAAGTAGAAAACTGGTCAGGGTTGCCATCGACGAGGGGGGTCGGTCAGTGTCGGCAGCGACCACAACAGAATCTTGGCTATCTTCGGAGGACCGAGGACCACAGGCGCTACACAAATCTTGCCAAGGGAGCGAGCTCTACGAGAGAACGAGATTGAAGAGATTGCCCGTAAGCTAGAAAAGGTGGCAAACAGAGACATGACCTATGAGAGCATTGTGAATTGCATTAGCATGGAAATAAAGAAGATGAAGAAAGGCAAGGGCATGTCAACGAGGAGGGAATTAAAAAGATGGTGGCACCCGGAAATCAGACAAGCCATCAACATTCGCCAAGAGGCCTGCAGGTGTCATCGGGCA